CAAGACATTCAACGAAGAGATAGAAATCATAAAAACGAACCAAACAGAAATTCTGAAGTTGAATGTAATAAATGAAACTAAAAACAAACAAACAAACAAACAAACAAAAAACAGCAGTAGAAAGCGTTAATAACAAGCTACATCAGGAAGAAAAAAAAACCTGCAAACTTGAAGACAGATCTCTTATTATTACCCAGAGAATCAAAAAGAATGAAAGATGAAAGCTTATAGGAATTATGCGACACCATCAGGTCAAACAATATAGTCAGCTCTCCATATCCATAGGTTCTGCATCCACAAATTCAAGTAACCACAGATCAAAAATATTTGAGAACAAAAAATTCCAGAAAGTTCCAAAAAGCAATAATTTGCCACATGCTGAATAGCATGCGGAATCCACATGAGGTGAGATGCAGGGATACCCTGCTGCAGCCTCCTGCCATTTCACCAGTCTCTCTTCAGCACTCCTGTCTGAGCATCATTTGCCTTTCATCTCGTTTGCTACTTGTATTTTTTTCTGACATCCTGTCAGAACATTCAAGTTAGCCGGATGTCTCACTACTCACCAACAGTGCCATACATCTTGTCGCCTCACCACTTCGGCACTGTAGGCACCATATAGCAAATCATCGTCAGCGTCATCGTATAAGGGTTATCAAGAGACAAGACCCAGGGTTTTGGTGAGTGTTAATACAGTGTAAAAGACAGACAAATTTATATTTTCTTTATGTACTTGTATTTTAAATATTCTGTGTCTCATCCTGTGTATTTCTCTTTCAGGTCATTAAACAAAAGCAATCTGTAAATGTTGAAAGAAAGAAATGTGATGTTGTTGCTGACATGCAGTTAGGCCTACAATGGCTGTGTCTACACTGAACATATACAGGCTTTTTTTATTATTCCCTAAACAATACAGTACACTGTGTTAGGTAGTATAAGTAATCTAGAGATGATTTAAAGTATACTGAAGGATACTTTTTATATAAGTTATATACAAATTTATGACACTTTATATAAGGGGCTTAGACTATCTGCAGATTTTGGTATCCACAGGGATTCCTGGAACCAACCCCCCATGGATACTGAGACAACTATACTTACATTATGGGCGTCCCAGAAAGAAGAGAGAAAGGAAGGGGCAGAAAACTTATTTAATGGCTGAAAACTTCTGGGGAGAGATAACAGCTATCCAGGTATATGAAGCTCAAAGATTCCCCAAACAGATTCAACTCAAAAGAGATGTTCGCCCAGACACATTGTAATCAAGATTTCAAAACAATAAAGGAAAAAAAGAATTCTGAAAGCAGCAAGAGAAAAAAAGATTCATTATATACAAAGGAATCCTAATAAGGCTATCAGCAAATTTCTCAGCAGATGTCTTGCCAGCTAGGATAGAGTGGGGAGAGAGGGAGGGAGGGAGAGAGAGAGAGTATAGTGCTAAAAGAAAAAACTGTGAATCAAGAATACTTTACTTAGCAAAGTTGTCCTTCAGAAATGAAGGATAGACTTTTCCAGACAAACAAAAACTGAGGGAATTTATCACCACTAGACCTGCTTTACAAGAAATGCTAAAGGGAGTTCTTAAAGCTGAAATCAAAGGATGCTAATTAGTAACATAAAAACATATTAAAAATATAAAATTCACTGGTAAAGGTAAATATACAGAGGGTGCCAAAAAAATATATACACATTTTAAGAAAGGGAAACTGTATTAAAATTGTAATACTCAATATATACTGATAACAAAAGATGAATACAAGTCATGTTTGACTTCTGCAATTACAACAGGTGCTCAAAGTGGTTACCATCAGCGTCCAGACACTTCTAATTATGGCAAACTACTGCTTTAGCAACGTTGACCAAAGTGTCCACTTGAATACATATTTTTGGCACCCCCGGTAATACTCAAATTCAAAATACTCATATATTGCAATGGTGGTGTGTAAATCACCCTGAAACTCTAGCAAACGGGTTAAAAGACAAAAGTGCTAAACAAAACTATAGCTATATTTTGTTAATGGATACACAATATAAAATGATGTGAACTAGGACATCAAAAACATAATATGTGGGGGAGGGCAAGTACATGTGTAGAACTTTGTTATGCAGTTGAAGTTAAGTTGTTATCAGCTTGCTGAAAATAGACTGTTATAACTATAAGATGTACTATGAAAGCCTCATAGTAATTAAAAAGCAAAAACCTGTAAGAGATACACAAATGATAAAAGAATCAAAGCATACCACTACAAAAAACCATCAATTCACAAAGACAGACAGAAAGGAAGAAAGGAAATACAAAACAATCAGAAAGCAATTAACAAAATGGAGTTAATAAGTTCTTACCTATCAAAAATTACTCTAAATGTAAATGGTTTACATTCTCAAATTAAAAGATATAGAGTGGCTGAATAAAAACAAAACCTACCTGTATGCTGCCTACAAGAGACGCACTTAAGCTTTAAGGATACTCATAAGCTGAAAATAAAGGAAAAGAAAAAGATATCCTATGCAAATGGAAAACAAAAGAGAGCAGGGATATCTATACTTATATCAGACAAAACAGACTTTAACTCAAAAGCTGTAACAAGAGACAAAGGTCATTATAAAATGATAAAGAAATTCATCAAGGGGATATAACAAGTGTAAATATATATGTACCCAATATCAGAACACCTAAATATATTAAATAATTATTAACAGATCTGAAGGCAAAAATAGACAGCACTGCAATAATAGTAAAGAACTTCAATATTCCACTTTCAACAATTGATACATCATCCAGATAGAAAATCATTAAGGAAATAATAGACTTGAATGGTACTTTAAATCAAGTAAACCTAACAGACATATTAAGAACATTCCATCGAACAACAGCAGAATACATACTCTTCTCAAGCACAAACAGAACATTCTCCAGCATAGATCATATATTAGGTCACAAATTGTCAACAAATTTGAGAAGACTGAAATCACATCAAGTCTCTTTTCTGACCACAATGGTTATGAAACTAGAAATCAGTAACAGGAGGAAATCTTAAAAGTTCACAAATATATAGAAATCAAACAACACACTTCTGTGCAACCAATGAATCTAAGAAATCAAAAGGGAACTCACAAAGTATCTTCAAATTCTATATATATATATATATATATATATATATATATATATATATATATGCAATAGATTATTCAGCCACAAAAAAGAAGAATATCCTACCATTTGTGACAACGTGGATGAAACTGGAGGGCTAAATGAAATAAGCCAGATAGGGAAAAACAAACACTATACGGTGACATATGTGGAACCTAAAAAAGGCCAATATCATAGAAAGAGAGAATAGAATGGTGGTTGCCAAGGGCTGGGGATTGGGGAAGTGGGGTGATGTAGGACAAAGGATACTAATTTTCAGTTATAAAAAGGATAAGTCCTGAGGATCTAGTGTACAGCTAATTAACTACAGTTAATTATATGGTATTATATACCATATTTCCCCATGTATAAGACACACCCTTTTTCGAAAAATTTGGGGTCTAAAAACTGGGTGTGTCTTATAGAGTGGTTATAGATCGTTGTCAAGTCATTTAAGAAGTGTGGCATTTCAAATGCCATAGATGGAACTGAGGATGAGGCAATATATGAAGACATTGATTCGTCATCAGACACAGATGAGGACAAGCTAATGGCTGGGAGTTTTGACAGTGATGAGGAGTTGTATGAATTTTATAATGAATAAAACTTGAGTTTAATAACTTTATGTAATACATTTTTTTTCAAATTTTGGGCCCCATGTGCATCTTATACATGGGAGCGTCTTATACACGGGGAAAAGCAGTACTTGAAAGTTACTGAAACTGTCTTAAAGCAGTCTCAGCACCAAAAAATAAGTTATCTATGAGGTGATCTTGATAATCATTTTACAATTGATAGCAAATCATCACTTTTACACTTTAAATATACACAATTATATTTGTCAATTATTCCTCAATAAAGTCTAAAAAAATGAATTAGGACAGCAAAGCATCACCAGATAAAATATTTGGTTGAGCCAAAGTATACTAGAGCTTCTAATGTTGAAGGTCTTAACAAAAAGTACAAAATGAGTGTTTTCGTAACTTGGGTACTTGGCAAAAAGAAAAACAGGCAAAGAAATTAGTAGCTTGACTTAAAAACAAACAAAAAGAAGAGGGTAATGTAATATTCCTTTGCCATTCTCAGATTTCCCACTTGCAGTTTTAGCTACTGATGAGCAACTTGTAAGCTGGTAAGATAATTATAGTTTTATAATTATAATTATACAGCATGAATTTGAATTTTACAGTAATGTGGCTATGTGGAAAAAAAATCACCTAAGGAGTGTGCCAAGTGGACCTCCTGGCATCCACATTTCAATAGTGATTTGCTCTTCTCTACTCCTCTGCCCTGGCACAGTAACTCAACAAGATTTGAAGGAAATTCTTTAAAACTTCCAGTAACATTTTATGGTATATTATTATATGGTGCTATTTGGGATTCACAAAAATGTTAACATATACTCATTTCACCTCAAGAATTTACTGTGTAAACCCAAATCATCTAGATTTCTTTGTTTTACTCTAATCAATATCAGTTTGTCTAAGGGCATCATATACCCTGTGCTTTCTGTTATCCACTTATTCTTTATTATGCTGATTGTACAACTACTGCCCAAGAGCAGAACTCATTCTTTCAAGTAAGAAACCTACTGTACTGTGTATTCATACCAAGAAAAATGCTTTTCTCCTATGCATCAGGGTTGGAAAACCTCTATAAAACTCATTCATTATAATATATAAATCATTAAAATAAAGTAGCATCACAATTGTTAGAAGTAATGTCAATGAAATTGTCCCATGAAAGCTGTGGGAAATTCAATTCTGAAAATATGTATTTTTAGCTTCTAGATAAAAAAGTATTTTACTTTCTCAACCTACGTAGTGCCACTCACTATATAAAATCAGTTTTTAATAATAAAAACATAAGATATGGTAGAAAGCATTATTTAACTTTATTAACCTTACTCATAACATTGATACAAATGCAAAATTAAGTGATAATCCTTAATTTTAAGTCTACTTCAAAACATCATTTCTTAGATTTAAGAATTAGGGCAGATATGTCACAAGGAGGAGGGACACCAAAAGCCAAGCCCCAAAACCTCACTAATTTATCTATGTATTAGAAAGTTTGAGCTACAGCCCTTATATGCCTTTAAATGGTATTTTCTTCTGACTTTCCGTTAAGCTCATCTGAATTTTTAAGCAGACCCTATAACCTATGACGTCTTCCAATTATGAATTGAAAAAACGTAGGTAGATTATGTATACCAAGTACTTCATGAAATTCATCACATACAGCTGAACTTCACATATAAACTTCAAAAATCAAAAGAACTATAGTATTCTTAAAACCCAAAGTCCCACCTTCCAATCTTCATTTTAAGAAAGGATTTGATCTAATGATGTTAATGTAGAAATACACTGTATATTTTAACATCAATAAGAGATGACATTCAAAGTGAGAGCCAATAAACTTTTGCATTTAAAACCAAATGGATCATATCTTGGACACCTTAAATTATAAAATTCGTTTCTAAGCAGGAAGTGTTACTGTGTAACAAATGCTGCTCATATCAAAAGTGCTGGTGACAAATAATTCAACATGCCCTCCCCAGAGAATCTGTTCACATACATATATGTATCTATAATTGTTAATAAGATTTTAAATGTTTAAGGTGCTTAAATTTTACACCGCAAGACTAATTCAATAAGTATTCATCTGCTACCTCATTGTAGCAACTCCAGTTAGAGTGAATAATCCATGAGCCAAAGGGCAAAAAAGCTATTTTCTAGAATGTGGCATTTGTGGAGGTGGAGTGCCCTCTATTGGTAGTGAGGAGGACACACTCATTAGCTGTCCTGCATGAATTTTCTCATTAATTCGGAGTTCACATCCATCCTGAAGCATTCGAACTGCTATTCGGGCAATGTTCTTCGAGTCATCAAGACCACTGTGAGGCCGCCCATCATAATCCATTCCTAGTTTTTCAAGCATTATTGTTAGTTTGGTTTGGCTTCTAGGAACCTAAGAAATAAATAGTAAATAATTCTTTAGTATTCTAGAAGTCACTGTGAAGTAGCAAAATAGAAACTGAAAATTAATAGTAACAGCAAAACAAAGTTAGGCAAAGGGCAAATACTCCTGGTCAACTGAAGCAAATAAATAAATCAAACATTCAGAGCTTTAAAAATAGTGATCTTAAGAGTTTTAGATAAAAATATTCATCAACAGATGGAATCCTCAAGACATCTAAAGTGTTTGCAGTTTCGTAATTTAACAAATCACTTATGAAAGAAAATGTGTTCTTTGGACATTTTAATTGAAGCACTACCATTTTAACCCAAACTAATGCTTTTTTGCACAGTATTTTTCTGTAATGTATTATTTTATCTGAGACTCCTTTGACAGATAAATCAAAAAAATACTCAGCCTTTCTAGATGACTAAAGATAATGAAGATCAAGAATGGAAGACAATGTCATGTGGTATTTTTCAACCTATTTAATAAATACCTGCTCCATTTTGATAAACACCAAAATCTCACACACTCTCCAAATTTCAATATGCTCCTCCACTTTTGAGAACCACTGTTCTATTTTCAGTATCTCTATCAGGAAGAAGATTTATTAAGTTTTACATTATATATTTTGTATAGCTATGCCACCTACATATCTCAGAGCCTCAGCTTTTTCATCTGTACATGAGAATAACAATTGTACTGTTTACTCACTGGGTTAATGGGAGAATCACAAAGCAAATGATATAAAATCACCATAATAAAAATCAATAATTATCCTAAGTTGTAATAGCACAATGCATTCTGGGCCTTCCACTAAATATCGCCTAAAAATGTGCTTCTTAAAATAACTTTTCCAACATATTGAATAACTTCGGTGAAATAGACTATTTCTAGAAACACACAACTTACCAAGACTGAATCATGAAGAAACCATAAAATCTAAACAGACCTATAATAACTAAGGAAGGCTGAATCAGTAATAAAAAATATCCCAACAAAGAAAAGCCCAGGACCAACCGAGTTCATTGGTGAATTCTACAAAACAAAGAAGCATTAACACCAATCCTTGTCAAATTCTTGCAAAAACTGAAGAGGAGGGAACATTTCTTAACTCATTCAATGAGGTCAACATTACCCTGATACCAAAGCCACACAAAGACACTACAAGGATAAACTACAGACCAATATTCTTTATGAATACTGATGCAAAAATCCTCAACAATACCAGCAAACTGAATTCTGCAGCATGTTAAATGATTTCTCCACCATGACCAAGTGGGATTTATTCCTGGATAGCAAACATTGTTCAACATATGAAAAACAATCAATGTAACATACCATATTAATATAATGAAAGAAAAAACAAATGATCATCTCAATTGATGCAAAGAAAGCACTGGACAAAACTAAACACCCCTTCATGAAAAAACACCCAACAAACTAGGAATAGAGGAAACTAACTTAAAATAATAAAGGCCATATATGAAAAACCCACAGCAAACATCATCTTAATGATGAAAGACTGAAAACTTTTAAAATCAGGAACAAAATAAGAATGCCCACATTCACTTCTATTCAAAATAGAAAACCCATGTTCACTGAAGCATTACTCATAATAGCCAAAAGACAGAAGCAACTCAAGTGTCCATCAACAGATGAATGGATAAACAAAATGTGATATCTACTGTACATACAACAGAATATTATTCGACCTTAAAAAGTAAAAAAATCTCAAACAATTGAATATTTAGCCTTACAAAGAAAGGAAATTCTGACACATGCTACATGTATGAACGCTGAAGATATGATACAAAGTGAAATAAGCCAGTCACAAAACAACAAATACTATTATGATTCCACTTACATGAGGTACTTAAAGTAGTACAATTTATAGAGACAGAAAGTAGAATGGTGGTTGCTTGGGGCTGGAGTAAGGGGGAATACGAAGTTTTTGTTTAACAGTTACAGAGTTTCCATTTTGGAAGATGAAGAAGTTCTGGAGATGGATGGTGGTGATAGCTGCACGATAATGTGAATGTATTTGATGACACTGAACTGTACACTTAAAACTGCTTAAATGGGGGCTGGCTGAGTGGCACACTGGTTAAGAGCTGGCTTGGGACGCCAGAGGGCCCTGGTTCGGATCCCACATATGAGAGCCAGTGACACTGCCCTCTACAGCTAAGATGCTGAACAACAGCTCAACCTGGAGCTGGGCTGCTGTGAGTTGCCAGTGACAGCATAGGCTGCAGCCCCTGCTGCAGTGGTTGCCATGGACTACCATGTGTAGCCAGCAGCCAGTGTGAGCGGCCATCCAGAAGTCGGCGACTGATCTGCCCCGCCCAGGAAGAGCTCAATGATGATGCCAACTTGGGCCAGTGAAGCAACGTCCTCCACAACTAGACTGAAGAACAAAACGACAGCAACTTGTCTGTTCCCCTTCCCCCAATTCCTCAAAAAAAAAATCTTGGAAAAAAAAAACAAAACAAAAACTTAAATGGGTAAATTTTGTTACATATATTTTACCACAATAAAAGGAATCTCAGAGATAAAGTGAAAAGTCCTGGATGGTGCTAGAAAAATGGTTAACTCTTAAACAGAGGCCAGCTCTTTCATTCAATATTTAAAACTTTAAAAATGTATGTAAACCTGGATAAAGAACACACAAACCTCATGCTTCCTCTGGCCTAGCAAGAAAAAGTTCTCAGTGAGGTGTCTGACCTGAAAAGTGAATGGTACAAAAATAGTAGGCAAATTTTACTGAGAGGCTTGAAAAAGAGCTGCAAACACCAGTCTACTTAGCAGACAGTTTCATCTTATAAACCAAGTGAACAAGCGCTTATTATAAGACCCGGGAGAAAACATTTGACTTCAAGTGACAAGAGTCTTGGATTTTCAAAGGAAATTGAGTCTTTGTAAAACTCATACTCTCATACTGCAAAAGGAAATCTTAAACGTTCATGCATTTTTCCATGTTCCTTGTTTTCTATAGTAGAAAACAAGACAGTAATTTTCCTCCCTTTCAACACCAGACTATGACTAGGTGTAGGACCCTTTCTCTGAATCTTCTGCTCAGCCTGAGAATTTGACTTTGAGAAAAGAGCTTTGTAAAGTAGTCCAACTGCACACTGGAGATGAGATTTACTGATCTGCCTCTAGAAAAGTTGCGGATTTCTGCAAAAGAAGGGGGTCTGTCATTCATAGAAAAGTAATGAATGTTTCACTTCCATTTTCAACTTTTTATGTATAGTAAAACCTTGGACTGTAATTTGGTTTGTGAGTGTTCCGCAAGACGAGCAAACATTTCTAATACATTTTAACTTGGTAAACGAACGATATCTTGCAATATGAGTAGTTTGTTTCCGGAACGAATTATGCGTGCAAATCAAGGTATTACTGTATATAAACCAGTCTTTCCTTGTTTAATAATATGAAGAACAAGGGCAGAAGTTATCTAATTTCAGTGGAAAATGAAATTCATGTGAACGTATCTCAAATTCATTTCAAAATTGAGTGTATAGGAAAAACAAAAAGAACAAAAACATGGGTTTCACTTAAAGAGGTAGATTTCATTCTTTACTTTTGCTTCAAAAATGACATTCTAATGCATGTGTAGAATTATAAAAGAAATAAACTTAACACATTTGTATAATTTTGTACATGCTAAACCTACATTTAAGTCTGATTACTCACACAGAAAGAAAGCTTTTATTTTCTAAAATCTTGTTTAAAATTGTTTTAGGCTGTGCTTTTATTCATATTGTTCCAGCCTACTTATAAAAATCAAACTTCATTTTAAGTTTAAGCCAGTTAATTAACAGAACTGTATTGTTTGCCTTATAAGTTTTTTACATTTATAAAAAAATAAAAATAAAAAAAAGAATAATTTCAAGTTTAATTACCCATCGCCACCCTCCACTCCCAAGAAAGGTCAGTTAAAAAGTTCAGTTTTAGTTTTAAAGAGGATGAAAGAATACTTTGTACACACCATATACCAAAGGCCTTGCCTTGTTAGCATCATATATAGAAGAAATTTGTGATAAGACTTTTAAGTATACTTGGATAAGACAAACAAAACAAAAAAAAGGAAATGTTCTAAAAAAGAAAACGTAAAGAGAAAATACAAGTTTCCTCAAGTTACACTAATTGACATTATAGTTGGTATCTATTATGAAGAGGGGAAAACCAGACAGAAAAGAGTAGTCTAAGGAATTGGTCAACCTAAACAGATCCACAGAAAAATATTATTCTCTACTCAAAAGACCACTGGCAATTTTATTGCATTAACATATCTACAACTTTCTGACCACTCTAATGTACTGTGAGCTGTAGATATTTTATGCAGATGTGAAAATTATGGTTTTATTATTATCCTTAGAATAAATTATTCCTCTAAGTTAAATGTTTGAAAAAGACACCCTAATGTAAGAATTCATTATCCCCTGGTAGTTGTTGCAAAAAAAAAGAACCTAAATATGATCAAGCCCCTACAAATTTACACAGAGGACAGAGACACATTTGAAGCTATATCACAGGATACAATTAGCAAAATCTAGACTATAGGAAACTACAGAACAAATGCCTCAGTTTCTTAAAAACACACAAAAGGTAAAAGAAAGCAAAGTATTTGATATTTATGATTATTAGATGACATTAGGAATTACTGTTAATTTTTTTAGGTGTGATAATGGTATGGTGGTTATATTTTCTTAAAAGTTATCTTTTGGAGTTATATAATGAAATGTTTACACATCAAATGAAATAATGTTTGAGATCTGCTTCAAAAGAATATAGATGAAACAAGGCTGAATATGAGTTTAACTGTTAAAAGTGGGCAATGAGGGTTCATTATATCTACTTTGGTATGTATTTGTAATTTTCCAAAACTTATTTTTTCAGAACGCATTTTTATAACATTTAAGGAATCACAAAATGAGTAAAATGATAAATCCACATAAAAGACATATTTACCAAATATAATCAAAGGACTGATATCCAAAATAAAGATCTACAAACCAACTACAAAAGGAAAGATTACCCAATTTTTAAAAAATGGGTTGAAGGTTTAAACAGGGACTTTGCAAAAGAAATCCAAATGGCTAATAATCAGAAAAAGGAGCTCAATCTCATGAGTAATTAGGCAAATGCAAATCAGAACCTCAGTAAGGTGGCATCAAACATCTATCAGAATTACAAATATTTTAAATTATGGTAATACCAGATACTGACAAAGACATGGAGTAATTCTCAATTCACACATTCTTCTGGTGCGAGCACAAACTGATACACCACCTTTGGAAAACTCTTTTGCATTATCTAATAATGCCAATGATGCACATATCCTGTAAGCCAGCAATTCCACTCGTAGGTTTTCACCCTGAAAAAATGGGTGCACAAAGGCACCAGAAGACATGCACAAGAATGCTCATAGCGCGACTGTTCATACAAGCCTCACACTGAAAACCACCCCAATGGCCAGCCAGAGTAGACTAGATAAGCAAACTCTGGTATATTCACACAGTGGAATTCTACACAACAATAAACTAAATTAACTTTAATTAACTTATAAAGGTAATAAATTAACAGCTACATACACAACATGGATGTCTCAAACATAATAATGTTCAAAAAAGCACAAAATAAACAAAACAGCCAGTATGACACTAATTATATCATGTTCAAAAATAGGCAAAACCTAACTACATGGTGTAAGGGTAAACATATAAATATTAAAGCTATAAGGAACAACAAGAAAATGATTCCCATGAAAATTCTGGGAGTAAGTTACAAGGGATTTCACTTTAAAACAATCTGTCAAACTCCACTTTCCTGTATGCATAGTTAAGAAATATTAAAACCACACACACAAAAACAAAAACATTTTTAAGGAAAATCACCTTTCTCATGAATCTACTTTAGGATGTGCTTCACCAAAATGAAGTTGTAAAGAGAGAAAGAAGATGACACAAAATCTAACACATAATAGAGAAGCAAAGGAAATCACTTAGAATAAGATGATTTTAGAAGAAGCCTGAGAACAAATAGTTCAGATTAGAACAGGATTAAAGGCTCTAAGAAGGTAGATCCCAAAGTGGGAAAGGGAAAAAAAAACACCTGACAGACTACCTGAATATTTTGAGTACAGATACTGAGAAGTGATTTACAGTTTGAATGGAAAGGAACAGGATAAGAAAACAACTGAAGAAGTCTATTATTACAATATATTTGGGGAAAAGTTGTGAACACCCTTCTTCGTCATAGGAATGTAAACACTGGCTAATAATTTTATTATAAAGGTAATGCAACTATATTAGAAAAATGCAGGGAGGGGAAAGACATGCAGGAATGGTGGCTTTATGACAGTTAAATTTTCATCTTCCATTGCAGAAATTTAATCGGTATCTCAAACTGAAACTCAAGAAATAGCATAAATATATAATTTGGAAATGTTAAGGTTATTATTAGAGGAAATAGCTTTAAAAAGTTGAAAATGTTTGCCTCAGGAGAACAAGCGCCAGTACTGTTGAGGGCCATGGTGGAAGACTGCCAACGTTATAAACTTTGCAATGTTATTTTAAAAATTTACACTACACACAGGAATTTACTTTGATTAAATTAAAATTCAGTGGGGAGCAGTTGTTCCACCAACAACCCACATACTGAATACCCCTATAATTTCAAACCTATTATTGAAGATCATGTTAACCTACTTAAGCAACAGGATGAATGAGAAAAATAGCTTATCTTTCTAAACTCATATGAACATACCTAACCTGGAATCTGAAAGGTTAACAACTAATCATATGGACCTTTTCTCTGAAAAGCACCTTGTAAATCATGACTTCATGTACATACAAAATATAATAATTTATCATCAACAGCGTAAGAGTATAATCAATAAAATGTAGAAATTTTACCTTGTAAAAGTTTCCATATGACTTGCGAATATTGATCCACTTTTTAGCAAAAGGAGGATATTTGAGCCTGCTTAGCTGGCACTGAATGTTCAGGAACTTACTCATATCCCATGAACTTATAAATCAAAAACAGAAAAAAAAAATAATAAATGCTGTAATATTCTCACAAATGAGTATTTAAGTCATTCTAATTTGTTATTTACACATACCACCTTTCTTTCTTCACACATAACATCAAGTTTAGAAAATTAAGCTCTCTTCTTCCAAAATACTAATTCAAAAATAAACTTTAAAAAACAAACAAACAAAAAGTCTGGCATATTAAATCTTTTCACAAACTGACTAATTCTTATTAGGCTCATCTTGAGCATTTTTATCATTCTGATTATCTGGGCAGACCTCTATCTTGGAGAGTATTTTTTCGTAATTCTAAAATAACTCTAATAAGCTAACTTTCAACATCAGGTTTATCATATAGGAAGTTATTTGAGAGTGTATTTAATTGAAATAAAACAAAAAACGAAAACAAATAAAATACGTGAAAGAGACAAAAGGAGTTGGTATCAAGTAGTTAAAGAGTACAATTTGTTCTGCCAAAGTATGTTTCTACAACACTAATCAACCAAGTCGTTAAGGAAAATATTGACTGTATAACATGGAAATTGTATTGGTTCATACATGGGTTTTCCTGGGCAGAGGAAGTCATAATAATAGCAATCAAATCTATCACCTTCAGCAGCAAAGAAAAAAAGCTCTCAACTCAGCTGCTGTACTGACAACAGGAGTACTTTCAAGTGTATTTTAAGCAAATTACAATAGAAACAACTGCCTGTCCTCAGGATCCTATAGCTTCCGCGCATTTGAATATCCTCTGAGGCAATTTCACCTACCCCGAGCTGCTTGCCTGAGCTATCCAAATTATTTCTGGAGGTATCGATTTTGTTTTTGTTAGTGCTGTGCTTACCACAGGTTTTGAACGGTCTGTCCCCAAAAGTGAAGATCTTGCAGAATTGTGCATACTCTGTTATGACATAAACTCCTGTATACTTTAGCAGGAACATTGCTCATTCGTGTTGCAATCAATAGGAGATTTCTAAAGAATATTTTCCCAAACTTCTACTTTTAAACACAATTATGATGTGGTTAAGTTCAATACTTTTTCCTGTTGTATATGAGGGTCTCTAAACCCTTTATGTAGGTGACATCGTAGCTTTAGTGTACAATCTGTCCATAGTTTGAAACAGATGTTGATTAAGACTTTCTTCAATCTTAACAGCACTATGGGAGGGGAGCTGCCTTGGCACAATGCCTGTAATCCTTGTTTTGATCTTTCTCATCTTTCTCCTTACTTTTCCATTTCACAATGAGCATACATTTTGAACTCAGCACTACAGTAAGCATAATGGAAGACTGAAGTAGCAGAAGTCCTTTGTCTAAAAGAATTGCAAACATAAGTCTTACATACATAAAGTTTAGATATCAGAATATTTAGTCAGACGCCCACAGGAATGGTACATATCCCAGAGGCTACAAGGTTTCAAGAAAAAAAAAGAGCAATGTGAATTGTAGTGTCTGTAATAAAACATAAGGTGGGCTTTGAATAATAAAGTTTTCAAGGAAGAGAGCCTTCCAGCAGAGAGGAAAGTATGAATAAGTACAAAGAGAAAGGAAAAACCATGTGATTGATGGGCCAGCCTAACTAGAGTAAAATATAATGGCAAGGTGAATTAGGCTACTAGGTAGGCTGAGATCAGATGAGAGAAACTCAAAGCCAGACTGAAGATTTCGAACTTTCTAAGCAAGGAAGTGTCCTGATAAAAATAGGTTTAGTAATGACATTTTAGTTTTACATATTAATATTTATCTTTCTCTAGTCTTCTTATCCTGGATTAGACAGTTATCATTGCTTTCCTTCCTCTTTTTGATCCCTAGTATTCAAATTTAACTAGGAACAAGAATACGAAAGAAAAAATACTGTCTCCTTTATTTAGTAAATAATATTTTTGTGGTTATTCTAAAAGTTAAATGAATAAGGACATCTTTAATCTTAAAAAGTATACAAAAAAGATAATTTTCCTAAATACTTACCCATCTGTTAATATACAATATTTATACTTTGTTCCTAATTCCTTCACTTTCATCCAGTCAATTACTTTCTTCAGTACCTGAGGGAAGGTATCAGCTTCGTCTACCTGATCCTGAAGATACAAAAGTAGAATATATAAAAATCAGAGTAGCTACTTATAGTTCTACAAAATACCCAGACATTAGAGGGTAAGTAACAGTAAGAGAAAGTCTTATCTATGATGTTTTAAACTCTTCATGATTTCTTTGGCTGAGCTGTATCATACATTTCATTTTTAAAACAATTAAGAATTATTTATAGCCAATTATTAGGGACTGCTTTCAAGTGAAGTACATACTCCTCCCAAAATTAAGATTTAAGATCAACCCCAGCGGTTCTCTTTTTGGTGTTTTTAGTAATTCTATTCTCAATTTTTTTTATTAGTTTCAGGTGTACAAAACAACTATATATATATATATATATGTATATATATATATATACATATATATATAAATAAAATTATACTTGACATTCAATATTATTCAGCTTCAGGTGTACAGTGCAGTGGTCAGGCATCTACATCATCAATGAAGTGTTTTCCCTAATAAGACAAGTGTCCATCTGAGACCCTACAAAACCTTTACAACATTATTTATTACATTCCCCAAACTGCCTTTCATAACCCATAGCAATATTGTAGTTACCAATTTATGTTGTCTTGTCCCTTCTCCTTCTCTCTCATCCCCATTCCTCTCCCATCTAGCAAACATCAGTTTTTCCTCTATATCCCTGAGACTATTTCTGTTTAGTTTGCTCATTTATTCAGTTTTTTAGATTCCACATATAAGTGAGATCATAAGGTATTTGTTTTTCTCCGTCTGACTTATTTCACTTAGGTAGTATGTGGTATAAAGATGTGAGCTTTGAGCTAGGGAGACCACTTTAAAGGGCTACGGCTCAGTGAGAAGAGATTTCCCTTTTCTCCACTCTGGAGAATCTGAGAGCTGCTAGGCTGAGGCCTAAAAAAAGGGAGCCATATCACTGCAAAAAGAGCTATAGCCCTTTAAAGTGGTCTCCATATCTCAAAGCTCACATCTTTCTACCACATACTATTGTACATACCCACGGCCAGACTCATCTCCCTAAAATGTAAATCTGATCCATTACATCACTTTCATTCATACTTAAAATCCTCTAAACACTCTCCTAGGCTTTCAAGACAAAAAGACCCACAAGACTCTTCATGATCTGGCTTGCCTTGGCCTACCACTTTAGCTTTATTTGTAACCACTTTCTTACTAGCCCACCTGCATCTGAACCATCTTGAACTACTTACAGTTCTGCCATTCACGCCCATTCTTTTCTACCTATTTACCTATTGTGACTCAGCCCAATTTCACTAACTTGAGGAAGGTATTCCCAGAACAGCCCTCCATTCCCTCTGTCATAGGAAGCCCTTTTTATAGATGCCTATAATACGCTGATGAAACAGTGACTTACTTGTCAGCAGCCTTCCTAACTTTACTGTGACCACTGGTTTATTCTGTGTCCTTCTGAATACAGACTATTAACTAAGCTGAGGTGACTGACTTGACCATCTCTCTATCCCTTGTACTTTGGCAAATACTAGAGTAGGCACTCAAATATTTGTTGACTGAATGAATGAATAAAGGAACTAAGTAAATGAACAAAGCATCTGCCACATTAGAATACCCCAAAAATCAGAGACCTAAAAACATTAAGCTATAGTGTATATTAAGTCAAGTTGTAAACAGATACATTTTAAAACTTTAGCTCCAAGTTCAGCATGGTAACACTTAACTTCACTAATGTTCCAAACAAATGAACCTTTAGATTCATCATTACAATTCCTTGAAAGGAAAAGCTGAGAAAAATTTTATCAAATGTAATATGTGCTTTCCTATTTCTTAACTACTACAATATGAAAGATCTTTACTAAGCAAGGAAAGCATCACATTAATTTAAATTGTTTACAATAATAATTTTTTAAAACTATGAAATAAATCCCTAATTGCAAAACTTCTTTCAAACTCCAAAAAAAGAAGCACAGAATTATCACCTGAGTAATTCCAGTTAGACTGATGCAGAAATCAGAAAGTTGTGTGTTAATCTCTGGTCTCACATACTGCTGAAACGTATCTTCCTATAAGGGAAGGACAACAAGTTAAAGTCTTTTCTATGACTTAAGATATATGACACATATTACATGAAAATTCAATCACACAACGTTGTAATTTTATTGGTGCTCACGGCACCCTTTCTAGATTTTTTAACAATTTAAAGGTAATTCCCTATTCCCAAAGCACTCTTAATGTTTTTAAATTAAAAAATTATATTTCATAGTTTAAAATTTAAGGTAAAGCAAGTATCTGAAAGCAAGCCTTCAAACCAAAGTTTGATATATTCTCGAGGAGCAAAATATTGATAATTTTGTTTGTAGTATTTTGAAACGATAAAGCGTATTAATGCAACCTCTACTTCCAAATAACAAATACTTTTCAAATAACTTTTTTTGAAGAAATGCCAATCTTCAGTTATAATGAATTAGCTCCAGTTTACTGCTCTCTCACTGACTCATGAATAGTCCTTCTTATTAGGTTAAGAGTCCATTAAACTGAATTCTGAATAATCAAAATTTGACTATATGATATCTTGTAGTTTAAAGGGCGATACCACTATATATATATATATAAATAAAAGTAACCTTTAACCTCTTCGAGCTTTCAGGCTTGCCTTCTTATTTTATGCTCACAACTCTGTCAACTCAGGAAGGCCAGCATTGTTATCATCAGGCTCAGATCTGTAAGTGCTTTTTCCTCTAGCCCAATACTGCCTCCCTAAACCAGGTCACATTCAGTCACTTGTTAAAAATTAGGAACAATTTCAAAGCCTAAAGATTTACAGGCAGCAACTGTTAATACTAGATAGATATGGAGAAAAAGACAAAGAATAGTATTTGTTGTAGAAGATTTAAAAATTAAGAAATAAAAATAAGTTAAAAAATAACTGTTCATATTTCCTACAAGTAATTCTTTTTACATACTAGTGTATTAAGCAGAAGAATTAGAGCTACTAACAATATATTATAAAAGAGCAAAAGTAAAGAATAACAGAGAACATTGGAACTTTAAAAGTTAGAGGCTCTTTACTTACCAGACGTATTGTAAAGAAAAAACATTCTACTTTATTGAATTTCATACATAAATGAAATCTATATTCTTCTAAGTATCAATATTTTGTTCTATAATTTTAAATGAAAAATTTTCAAAAATATGCTGCAACTTCTCTTACCATTACAAGTAGGTGATACTAAGTATATATTGATAAAATTTTATTAACTTTTTTAATACTTTTAACAGAGTAATGCTACATAGAACTAGCATTCACTGACCAAATATTTAATAATTACTTTAAAAAATTACATAGTAACTTAAAAGGTAATGAAGGTTATCAGAAAATAGAGTAGGTAAGAGTGATCAGAAACATTGGGTGCAGGGGTGTTTAAGCTACATTATTAAACAGGTAACCAGTTAGGCTTTATTCTGAAGGTGAGAGTTAAGGAAAGACAGGAAGGAAGGAAGGAAGGAAGGAAGGGAGGGAGGGAGGGAGGGAATTAGCAGCAATCTCTCTGGAGGAAAGGAATTATAGATAAAGCCCTGGGAAGTGATGGGATCTGACATTTTTGAGAAAGAGCAAGCAGGTCAATATGACACAATCTGAGGTAACAAGAGGCCAGGTCATATTAGGAATGTGACTTTTACTCTGAATTAAATGGGGAGCCATTGAAGGGTTTTGAGCAGAGGAGTGATATGATCAGCTTATATTTTATAAGGATCACTCTGGCCCTTATGATGAGAACTGGCTATAGAAAACAAGGATAGAAATACAGACACCAGTTATCTGGTGAATGCAGCAAATCCAGACAAGAAATGATGGGGGCTCAGGCTAGTCACAACAGTGCATTATGTGGCTGGATTCTGGACATATTTTGAAGGCAGAGTAAACAGGAATTGCTGTCGGTCTGTATGTGTGAAACAGGTGCCAAGGGTGAACTGAGCATTAGAAACACAGAGCTGCCATCACTCAAGCTAGGGAAGGATGAAGATAAAATAGGTAATTTAGGGTAAATTCAATTTGGGACATGTTGAGATGTATGTTTAGATGCCCAAGTAGAGATGTGAAATAAGCAGTCTAGATTTGGGACAGAGGTCCAGGTTGGAGACATGTATTTCAAAGTCATCAGCACATAGTTTCTAAAAGCTATAGAACTGGATGATAGATAAGGTCATTAAGGAAGGATCTATATGGAGACGAGGACCTGGGATTGAACCTGCGGTCTGATATTAGGAGGTTGGGAAGAAAAGGAGGAACCAACAAAGGATATTGTAAAAGGGAAATTAGTGAGGCTGGAAAAAAAAAAATCAAGAGAATGAAGTGTTCTGACAATCACCTGACCAAAGTATTTCAAGGAGAGAGTGGTCAATTCTACCAGGATTTAGGTAAAGGTCAAAGATGACCCATTTTAGTGGAGTGATGGGATTGAATATGTACCGGGGGTGCCAAAAAAATGTATACATGACTTGTATTATCTTTTGTTATCAGCATATATTGAGTATCACGATTTTAATAGTTTTTTCCTTTCTTAAAATGTGTATACATTTTTTTGGCACCCTCTTAAACCTACAATGGTGTGGGTTTGAGAAAGTGAGGAAACAGAGATAAGTGAAAATAAATAACTTTTGCAAAGAAATTTGCCATAGAGGAACAAAGAAACATGGTAATTGGAGAGGCAGTGGGATCAAGTGAAGGTTTTTTATGGTGTGAAAAGTCACATGTTTGGATGTGATGGGAACAACATAGTAGAAGCAATAAATCATTAATGTCTAAATGAGGGAGAATTGCTAGAGGAATGGCCTTGAGTAAGAGAGAGGAAGCGCAATCTAGTGAGTTATGCAAGATTATTTGCCTTCATAGCTATCGTTTTTACTTTTGATTTACTGACCTTTAATTTGCTTTGGATAAGGAAATTATGTAAATAGGCTGATTAAGAATATAACTAAGAGGCTATGAACAACAAACACTAAGAAAAAAACTATGCATTTTAATGCATAAAGCCTTTTTATATTTATTCCCAGTGTGTTGGTGGCAGCTAGGGATACTACAGAAGTAACTTTTGGATAGATGAGATGTTATGATATGTCCTCACTCAGATTTCACAAGGCACACAGTATTTTGGAGAATTCCTGCTGACTTCCATCTAGTAATGCAATGAAAACAAGTACCTAAAGCACACATATTATGTGGACTAGAAGCCAAAGTTATGAGAGTTGTTTCCCCCATAACTTTTCACCCGAAAGATGGCCAGTTCTAAGTTGAAGTGTGATTTCTGTAAATTATCATTTTCAGAGATCAGAGCATACATTCATCTATAGCAATGATTATCAACCCTGACTGCATATAAAATGAGAAGCTTTTAAAAAATGCGATGTCACGGGCCCCAGCACAGAACAACTAAATCAGAATCTCTGGGATGAGGGCCAGGCATCCGTACTTTTTTTTTTTTTTTACACCCCAGGAGATTCTGATGTCCAGCCAGATATGTGTTCTTAGCAGACAGAAAAGAACACTATAATTTTAGCTACCAAAAAAGGAGAGAAGCAGACCCTGAAATTATTTTATTACAGCTTTTCTATTATCAAGCTGATACAAAGCAAACAGCAAGAGCAAAAACCTCACTTTAGACCTCCAATTCTAGCTGAAACAAATGAGATCCTCTGCCTTACTAGCCAACCCCAGAATAGTTGCTGCTAAAAATAAAATTAAAATATAACAATTCACTTACTATTTCTAAGGTATGAGTATTCAGTAAAACAACAGGAAATTCAATTATTTCATGTATGAATTCAGGGGGGTTACCCTCTTCACAAGTGGCTTCGAAGTCAATAATACAAATGTAGTCATAATAACTGTCAGCACAATTGCCTTCTTTCAACATCAGCTTCTGCTTCTTATAATAGTTTTTCAGCCTCTTCTTTAGTACATCCTTTACTCCCCTAAGGAAAATAAGAATAAAATTAACTCTATGGTGAATTTCAGTCAAGAATCTGAATTCTTACCTGTTTGCACTGGGTTGAACATTGACAGGCAAAGTATAATTTAGCAAATGTTAGCTAAAAAAAAAAAATGTAAACAAAAACAAGACTCAAAGCTAATTTAGCAAAGAATTAAAATATAACGTTAATACAGCATCAATATTTTCCTTTACAAGTAACTTTTCATTTTTGTAGTATATAAGAACATTTTCTCCAATCTATACCGGTACTTCACACCATAAGTTCTGTCGGCATACACCACCTACATAACCATATTGCCTTAAATACTAAGATGACATACTGAAACAAAAACTGAAATTATCACTAAATTATTCTACTGGCCAAATAAAAATTTCAGAGTATGAAAATTCAGGTAAATTGAACTACTGTGCTCTTTCCTTTTTTTTGGCTTGTGCAGGTTAAACAACTGAAAAAGTCTATATGAATATGAAAACATTATGAGACTGGTATATAAAGTTGAATGTCTACTAGCTATTTAACTAGAAAAACTTATTTAGAAGACACCTTAGAGTAAACTGTGTCCAGAAAAACACTGCAATACTCAATAAGTTTTTAATTGTAGACTTCTTAATACCATGACTAGATATGATTTAGGAGATATCAGTATTACAGGTATTTTTAAAATACATGTTCCACAAATGGGGGGTTGGGAATCGGTGGTTCTAAATAGAACAACGGTTGGTTCTTCTTCAAATAGTATGTATTTCAAATAGTATGTATTTCTTCAAAATACATACTATTTCTTCAAATAGTATGTATTTCTTCAAAAAAATTAAAAAAGCAATAGCCAGTGCTCAGGCTTCCTTCAAAATTTATTTAGTTGAGTCTATATGGCTTGTAAATACATAATGACAGTAAAAATAAGATCTAAGTTGTAATTAATGTGCAGTGACAAGTAACGCATTTTGGTCACATCACCTATTAGTAACTTTTAAAAATTTTGTTTTAACCTTTTGTTCTCTTTTCTAAACTACCACTAAAAAGGAACCCTATCCATGACAATACTAATAATTAGCCAGTCAGTTGTTTTAAGACAAAATGTCATATTTTTTTGCTTGAGATTTTCCAAATTAGCAAACCTAGCAAGGAAACCCCTTAACTCCTTTCATATTAAGGTGTTAAGTGACCTCTGTCATGTGACAGCTTTGGATTATTTTGTGTTAATTTCTTTCCTTTCTCTCTTTTTTGGAGAAACTATATTTTACTAACGGGTTGCTAGTAAACCAAACGGCAACATAAACGTGTAATCAGAGAGACACTTGCATCTTTAACATCTCGCTTGACCTTCGACATCCAAACCCTCACCCTTTTTGCCAGTTCTAACTCAGTAAGACATCCAGAATCTCGTTCTCCTTAATTCTCTCTAGTATGGCTCCCATTAGCTTCTTGGACTAAGGCAAATGCCTCCACTCTCATAGCCCTCCTATCGCTCTGTACCTTACTTGAGAACTAAGCACTCATGTCCATTTCCTGCTGCAAATGCCTTCAGTGGCTCTCTTCTGCTTACAAAGTAAAGTTCAGACTTTAGCACAGAGTTCCTTCACAACTTGGCTATGACCTATCATCTTCAGGTCTTCCACTCCCCATGGTATAGGGCATACTGCAGACAAAACATTATGACAAGCCATCATCTAAATACGTGGTATGCTTTCATGGCCTATAACTTTGATTATTCAACAGCTAACAAAAAAGAAAGATCATGTAGTAGAAAACATACACACAGAAATTAGGAGTTTTGAGTTCTTTTTGCCTGAAATACCCTGTCTCCCCTTTCTTCCTGGCACATCAATTCAAATGTCATCCCTGAATTTCTAAGACAGACTCTCTACTGTATTCTCTCATGCTATAGTTGGCCAGACCTCCAATATAACACTGGTTATTCTGTATTGTGATTCGTTTGTGTGCTTTCCCAAAAGACCATGAGTTTTCCAAAGCGGGGAATATATTTGTTTTACCTTTATAACTTTTAAGTCCTAGTGTAGTTCTTAGAATTCAATAAGTGCTTGTTGAATAAAGTGTAAACATGCCTCTAGATCACTAGCTCCCCTGCAATAGGAGTAAGAAATTAGTCTTCACACCTGGGAAGGGCAAATATTTTGCTCAAAAAATCTTCTGTAGGCTACAAGTTGTATCTTCATAATGGAAACAGTCAGAGGGAATGAGGTAGAAATTTTCTTCACAAACTAAAATGTAGATAATCTAGGAGAAAAAAATATATACGTGTGCTCTTTTGAAAAGTAGTGAAGCTCTATTTTAAAGCAAAGAGGAGGAATACTCCTTATAAGGATTCAGGGGTACACAGAAATGATAACAGTTTTCATCTATTGTATGTAGTCAATTTTTTTCTTGATGCCTAGAAGTTCTATTGTGTATCAAAAATTTTCATGTTTTTCTGGATTCCAAAAGTCATTCCTGCCCCAGGCCCCAAGTCAAAATAAACTGATTTGTTTTGAAAAAAATTATCAAAAACTTAAGTGTGTATATATCTCACTGCAGACAGACAGACAGACAGACACAGACACAGACACACACACACACACACACACACACACACACACACACACACACAGAGTTGGCTAAGCTGCATTCATTTCTCATTCAATATACAGTTAAATATAATGCATACTATTATTCTGTGTTTTCAGAAACAAAAACAGGAAAAAAAATACTTCCTGGTAGGTGACTGACTTTTTAAAATTACCTGGTTACAAAGAAATTCTTTTCATAAAAATAATACAAATTGACAAAAGAAAATAAAAAATGAAAATATTCAATCTCATTAATAAAATACTATCCAACAACCAAATGAGCAACTACAAATATTTAAAATATACTTGGTGTAATAACGCCTATACACTGCTGGTAGATTGTCAAAATATTCATAGACTTTAACCTGGCGATCCTGGTCTATCATCTGAAAAACTAACAAATCATTTCTCATTCAAAGTGCACTGTATCTCATTTAAATAATTTCTCATTCAGAGTAAAGACATGTACAAGAATGTAAATTACAGTTGTTATTTGAATTGTTAATAATGGTATTCTTTATGGTAGGCATAATTACAAGTTATTTTTAATTTTTCCAGTATTTTCAAGATTTTCTGGGATGAGCATGTACTGCTTTTAAAATTTTTTAAAGTTATATTTATCTACCTGGTTTCAAGCTTGAATTCTGAAAGTTTAGCTCTGAGTTCTTCCTTACTCATTCTATTAATGCAGCCATTCGTAATAGCAATCTCTTTATAAACTGGGTCACTGAAATCACTGGAATTGGAGGTAATGAACTTAGATCCTTTTGTTTCTTGGCCATCAAATCGACATCGTTGCTTTTTCTACAAAAAAAACAAAAACAAAAAAAACAACAAAAAAAAACAAAACAAAACATATAGTTTATGATTAGTATAAACATCTTAAAGATTCAAGTTCCTGAGGGAAGTCTCTTTGTGCTACATGTTCAACGAAAAATGCCCACTGCAGCTACTGGAGCGGAGGGCAGGATAGGAAGAAGAGGTATGTGTTTCCAATACAATTGACCCTGCTGTTTTCTGAGTCATGAAGTTCCTTCTAGGCAATGAAGCTAAGTAAAAAGAACAATGATGTCGGGAGTCAGAATCACCTCAGAACAGAACCCTTGCTAACCATTTACTAGCAGCGTGACCTTAGGTAGTTACTTATTAGTCTCTGATGTCCACTTCCTTATCTATAAAATAAACATAATAATAATTGTCTCAATGGCATTTAGTATGTCATAATAATAATGGTAAATAGTATTTAGGCAAGATTATTACAAGGGTTAAATAAGATCATGTATATTAGGCTCCCAATACTATTTTCACCATAGCTATTAATAAATGATAATTTTACTTATTACCACCACAGACTATAGAACATTTTAAAGCTTACAAATGAATTAATTTTTTTAATTAATCGTTACAACATTATGCATGTATAAATCAGTGACTTCCCAAGAATTTTTTACCTGACTTCATTTCACAAAGTTAACAGAAATTGCCCAATGTAAAGACAAAATGGAATAGAAATCTACTTCAAACTTCCTAATACCTAAGGCAAAGGAGGAAATGTATTCAGTTTCAAAACACAAAAGTTACACATATAACAGTTACTCAGGATAACTACTTACTACATTATAAACCTTTTCTCTTTTTTTAAATCAAAATGTGTTAAAAAAAAAGACTCAATTTTAATCACTCTACAGGCAGTCCAAAACACTAACGTTAAGTTTCAAAGATTTATTTGTAATTCAATTATTTTCCACATGCAATGTAACAAACATCAGGTATGTTCCAGAATTTTCAAAAATACTTTAGTACTTTCTATTAATCCATATTAAATCTTGCTTTTACTTAGTCATATTGGGTTGTCGGAAAAGTCATGACTTATTTTTGCAACGAAAAACATAGAAAAAATACATCATGACTTTTCTGATAACCCAATAATTTACCACATTGTCCCCACGTGAACTTTAATTACAGATTAAAGAGGGATAACCATGAACAAGCCATAGTCTCTGTCTTAGAATGGATCCTGATGGTTCAGGGACTATTTCTCATTCTAAGCTCTCAATTTAAGGCAACACACATTTACTGGAAATATAATGTGAGGTGCTGTGCTAGAGCACTCAAAATTTACTCACTCCCATCTCCTCTGTGGAAGAGGTCAGCAATTCTAATGAGTGAATTGTCCATAAATTGAAAAGTAACTGTACTGAAGTTCCTTGTTGACAAATGTTTAAAAAGCTTTATTAAACTGACCTCTGACTAAAACTAAGAAAATAATTAGCTTTCAATAATATATTAAATTTATGATACCTGGTTACTTTATCATTAGAACTTAATCAGGATAATTTATCCTTTGTCTTTAAATTTACATTGAATTTTAAACTTCATGTTCAGTCAGGTTAAAGTTTAGGTCAACACTGAGTAATAGTTCGACTACCAAAACAGACAAATGTTTCAGTTAATTTAAGCAAATTTTCTTTTTTGGCTAAATCCTCTCTCTGATTCACTTGCTTAATTCTTATCTAAAACTGTAGCTACAAACATTACCCACAAGAAACAGTTAGATATTCTAGATATTCTATAAAGCATGATTTCTATAAAGAAAGATCTATGTCCTCTCCTGGGTTCAACTAGAGCCCTTTTCCTTCAGTGAAGTTTAGGGCACAGTCAAGATCCAGTACTAAGTGATCAGTGTTCTCTTCCCAAATTTCAGGTCTACACTAATAGTTTCCAAAGAAGGATGTTCAAGTCAATCCGCTAAGGAACATAAAGAAAATATTAAAAACCCTACATGGATTAATCTACAAAAACACAAAATTAGTTTACTAAATACACAGATTGACAATGGCACCCTCCCCACTGTCTACATACACCGTGGGTCACACACAGTACTGGCCACATGAGGAAGTAGGGCAGACTCCACAGTATGGAGAAGAATATTCACCTTCACAGTACTGTTACATTTTGCAATTTCCATGTGTCCAAGTAAATGGTTGTATGGTTTATATTATCCCAAATAAGAGAAGCTTTACATTATGGAGAGTGACTACAAAAATCTCTTATACCAAACAGAAGCTTACCAATGATCTTGTGGCAAAGTACTTATTTATTTAAGTGCTATTGAACTTAAAGAAAAGTTACGTATTTTCTTTTACAAAAAGATAGGTATTCCAAAAATTTTGTCCTTTTCCATGTTAAGAAAGGGATTGACAATTTGATCCTTAGAAGTTTAGGGTTTTTTATATGAATATAATATAAATTTTTTGTTGCAAGATGAAATAAAATGTTTAACAAGTAAGTTAGATAGTAACTGCTTATCAAAAGAAAATTTTTTTCTGTGGGAAGAACATTTGAAAATAGATGTTTTCAAAATGTTTCCATTATTCTATTGCCAAAAAATGTGCATTATCTAATAAAAAAAACAAAACAAAAACTGCCCATCTGCACACTAAAAAAAACTTAGAAGCAGAATTTAACTTGATTAAAATTATTCCAAAGGAACAGTTCTGATATTTGAACCTACTCATTAAAAATATAAAAATGCAACATCTACTAGTTTACAAATACAACTGACATTAGAGACAATGGAAATGTACTTAGCTAAATTCCAACAAAAACCCTACTTAATTGAGGTTGAAAAAAAATCTGTATCATCATTAATTAAGAGCATCCAACAACAAATTTGTAACAAATATGGCAGTCACTAAAACCAATCTGGTACACAGACCCAGGCCTTATGTCACCATACCTCTAAGTTTTCATACTCAAATATAATGAAGTATATTGAATCACACACTTCTCTTATTAAAAATAAACTTTAAAACTATTTTTAAACTGACTTACATGATGTTATTGACAGTATCTCAGATCGAAGAGGGAGATGAGGTGGAAGAGTGCTTCATTAGAAGGGACAGGAAGGCTCCTTTGAAAGCAGTATCACAAGGAGAATGAGAAAACTATGCAAAAACCCAGAGGAAGAGCAGGCAAGGCAAAGAAGCATAC